TCAGGGATGAGAAACCCAGCGGCCAGGCTGAGGGGTGTGCAGGACGCACTGCAGGGTGGGAAATAGCCGCTTTCTTGCGTGGATCACTTCCGTAAAGTCGGGATCAGCATGGTGGGGTGGCGGATGACACTGCTTCTGTCCTGGGAGTTGCTCAGTCTCCCTTCCTTTGGGAGTGGGAGCTGGACTGGGTGCCCCGTGGCTGGTCTGACAGCGGCTGTGCGTTTGTTTATCTCAGGGTGCAGTGTCTTCTCTCCCCCTGCCCCCCGACTGTGACATGCAGCGTCACCGTGGAGGTGTCCACGCCCCTCTGCCTGCCCAGGGCTAGAGCGAGGTCCTTGGAGCAGGGTCATCAAGGAGACCTGCTTCACAAGACGCTGGGGGCAGAAGCCCAAGAGGAGAGGGCGGATGGGAAGGGGGCGGTGGAGAGCAGAGGTGGCGCAGCTTGGGAGTGGGCAGGCCCCGAGTAGGACCGCCCGGCTGTCTTGGTTCACTGAGAGTGGGAGCAGCGGGCTGGCCCCTAGGCGTGACCCAGGCCAGGGAGAAGGGCTGAAAGCCTGCAGCCGCCGCCCCTCCCCATCCTGCTGCAGCTGCTGGGCAGCTCCTGCCAGCAAGACAGAGGGTCGCTCTCAGGGAGGGGACACTGAAAGAACGGGCGCTCAGGGGTACCAGGTCCTGATGGGTTTGGGGGTGGGGGTGGAGCAGGAAACGTGGCATTCTGGAAACTGCAACCCCACCTGTCCTTTCCCAAACTTGTCTCCCAGAATGATGGCAGCCAAGTGTTACTCCCACACGCACACGCACGGAGGAGACAGAGGCACCCTCCGTGGGAAAGGCCACGGACGTGGACACTGGAGGCCCTCCAGGACCTGGCAGCGAGGCTCGCACTCCTGCAGGAACCTGCCTCTCAAGTGCGGACGTTCACGCGAGCGTCGGCAGCACGCGAGGATCGAGGGAAGCACGGAGCGTCAGGGCTGCGGGCGGCCGTCCTCGCCACGTGGCCACAAGCCACGCAGGGGGTCCTCCATGAGGGAGGAGGAGCAGAAACCTCCTGTGCCCAGCCTCACTCCTTCCCAAGGACAAACACCCAACCCCCCACCCCCCGCCCCACTGAGCTGCAGGGGTGTGGGGATGCTTGGTGACTTGCTGGAATGTTCTGCCCGGGCCTAGCTGCCTCACACGCATTCGCGTGCGCACCACGGATGCCAGCAGCAGCGCTGAGAGAGGAACGTCACACCCCTTTACAGACAAGGAGCGGGGCAGAGAAGCGCAGGACCACGTCCTAGGCCACTGTCAACTCAAGCCCTGCGACTGCGGGCCCAGAGCGAGCCCTCCTTCCCACCTGGCTCAGGTGGCTGATCCCGGCCCTGCCACGGCCTGGGGGCGCTCGCCCTGCCGCTGAACGACAGGCGACAGCGCTGGGCCAGTGCAGGGGAACCTACTTCCAGGTGAGAGGGGCTTTGAAGACACTGAAAACGAAGACCAAAACAGAGAGCAGCTCGGAAATCACCCGCCACTGCCGCGGGCCTGCTCGGAGCGCCCAGAGCCACGTGGGACGCCCTGGGGCTGGTGCTCGGCCCCATCTTCACGCAGGGACGGAGGACGCACCCTTTTTCCAACAAAAACTCTTGCCTGTGCCCCTTCGCTCCCGGGGTCAGCAGACGCGCAGCACGGGCCGAGCCTCTCTGTCCGAGTGGCCAGGTCATGGAGGCCGGCGGAGGGCAGCTTCCGAGGTCGTGGACCCAAGTGATCTTTGTGACTGAACAAAGGGGAGCAGAGACATGACCACTGCGGCGCCCAGGGGCCCTGGGACCGGGCGGCTCTCCTGTCGTGGCGCAGCGTGGGCCTCCGCCTCCTTCCCTAGGCCTGGAATGCACTCTTGAGAGCTGCGCACTGGCCTCAGAGCAGCTGGGAGCTGATTTTCTGTTTTGAATAGATGACTCATACAGATCATTAAAAAAAGAAAAAGAAGGCATTATACACAAAGGTTTTCGGGAAAAGCCTCCAGCCCCGCAGCCGCTTGGGATCTCTTCCCGGAAGCAACGAGCCCTGGCAGCTTTGTGTGATCTTTTTTGGGGGGAGGAAGTCTCTTCTTGAACTAACATTCGCTGCCAGTCCTCTTTTTCCTTGAGGAAGATTGGCCCTGAGCTAACATCTGTGCCCATCTTCCTCTATTTTGTACGTGGGATGCCGCCACAGTGTGGCCTGATGAGTGGTACTGGGTCCGCCCCCAGGATCTGGACCCGTGAACGACGGGCCACAAAAGCAGAGCACTCGAACTTAACCGCTACGCTGCCACCCGCTGGCCCCCTGTTGGGTTTTGATTTGCGTTTCTTTTCTCAGCCCAGGGGCTTTGTGAGCTTGTGTTAGGGGAGGTCACCAGGCAGGAACTAGTTCATTTCCCACAGGAAATCTCAAATCACTGGTCTGGGAAGAGGGACGAAAAGAAGCTGGGACAAGTGCTTCACTCCCTCAGGAGCATCTCTGTGCTGGTCGTCCGCTGTGGCATCCAAGAGCACCCAAAACTGAGTGACCTGCAGATAACAACAATTTGTTATGTCGCGTGGCTCTGTGGGTGACTGGGCTCAGCTGGGCAGGTCCTCTGCTGGTGTCGCTTGGGGTGTCCACATGGTCTCGGGCAGACGGTGCTGGAAGTGGAGTCACCTAGAGGCTCGGCTCCGATGCTGGGCTGGCTGGGCCTCGCCTCTTGTCTCTCTAGTCTCAGGGCCTACCCCTGTCCAAGTGGCCTCTCCAGCTAGACTTCCCAGGGCTCCCTGGAGAGCAAAAGCAGAAGCTGCCAGGCCTTCTCAGGGTGAGGCCAGGACGGGCACTGGGTGACCTCAGCTGCGTTCTCCTGGTTGCAGTGAGATCTCCAGCCCAGCCCAGATTTGAAGGGCAGGAGACGGGGAGGTGGTTCTTTGGGGACTAGCTCTGAACACTCGCTGCCACAGGCTCAGAGTTGGTCTGGGTGTTAGAATTCACACTGAAAACATCTGAAACATGTAGATGTTTAGTCTTTCTCTTTGAATCAACACGGCAATTGGTTTGTACTTAGCAGCAGCCTGGTAGCTGGGCTTCCACCTCTGATGTGAAGGCTGCTGGCCTCTCCCCTGTGGACCCAGCCAGTACAATGTTTTCATGTTATTCTAGAGGTGAGTAGGAGCAGATGAGCAGATGGAAAGACCTGGAGTTGGGAACTGTGGACGTCACCCTGTTCTGCCCTCTGTCCCTGTGACCTTTCGCTAGATCCTCTCACCTCCTAGGGCCTCACTCTCCAGCTCTGTAGGTCCAGTGTCTTTGTTTTCACTCCCCCATAGCCTCTCTGAACTCTGGGCAAGGGACACGAAGGACAGTGCCACAGGCCTGGGGTAGTGACACCAGCCCACTGAGAGCTTCCGTCTCCCTCTGTGAATGCTAGGGTGGCACCTGCTGGCTCTGTCTCTTGATAAATCTCCTGACTGTCAGGAGCGTGTGTAAGGAGGGAGGGCAGTGTCTGCCCCGTCACCCCCGTGCACTGGCCCGGAGCACTGGCCTGGCATCCGTCAGACTTGCTCCCAGTTGTGGCTCTGCAGGTGGGACAATGTGACTTGAGACTTGATTTGTCATCTGCAGAACGGACTGTGAAATGGTGCAGCCGCTGTGGAAAAGAGTCTAGCAGTTCATGAAAAAGTTAAACATGGCGTCATCCTCTGAGCCAGCAATTCCACCGCCAGGTATCCACCCAAGAAAACTGAAAACATGCATCCACAAAAAAGCCTGCACACTCGTGTTCACAGCAGCATTATTCACAGTAGCAAAAGGCATAAACCACCCCGATGTGCCTTGATGGGTGAATGGACAAACAGCGCTGAACGACCATCCACTGGAATGTTACTCAGCCATAGAAAGGAATGGAGGCCTGAGACACTACCATGCGGATGAGCCTCAGAAACGTGCTAAGAGACAGAAGTCAGACCCAAAAGGTCACATAGTGCACGATTCCGTTCATGTGAAATGTCCAGAATAGGCGAATCCACAGAGACAGAGAGTAGAGCAGTGGTGCCAGGGACTTGTGGGGGGATGGGGAGTGACTGCTGGAGGGCACACGGGTGATGGAAATGTCCTCAAATTACATCGTGCTGATGACTGCACGACCTTGTGAATACACTAAAAACCACTGGGACGTACGCTTTAAAGCGCTGACTTTGCTGGCATGTGAATTACATCTCAGTTTCTAGGAGGGTCGTGAGTCCTCCTTCGCAGGAGCAGGGGGACTAAAGGAGGCACTCCGTCATCAGGGTTAGTACGTGGTCCAGTCATGACTATGCTGCACACACATTACACTAACCTGTCCACTCCTGGGGCCGGGGGACACCCCAACTCCAGGGGCAAGGAGAAATTTCAAGCGGAGGGCTTTGGCTCAGGGCTGAGTCTTCCTCTGGCATCCAATCCAGAGACTCAAGGCCCTGAGAGGTAGAGTGAGCAGCGCCCCATTTCCCCAGGGCCCTGTGGGTCACACCTGCTCCCAGACTCCAGCAACCACACCTGGCTCGCCCTCGAAGGACGTGCCCCCCTAGCAAACCTCCTCCTTGGAGGAAGGCCCAGGCCAGGACTGGACTATACCATCCACTCGTTCGTCTGTCCACCTCTACGGCCCGGTCTACAACCCAGAGCCAGAGGAGACGGCAAACAGGGCCAGCTCCAGAGGGGGCCAGCTCTGGGGTCCTGGAAGAAGCTGCTACTGGCCTGAGGTGGGGGCTGACTTCCTGCAGGTCCAGACAGCACATCAGCCGAGCGTCAGGGTGCGCGAGGGAGGCAACCTCTCCAGGAGCCAGAGCGGCCCACAGCAGGCTGGGGGCTGGGGGCTGGGGCCTTGGCCTTCCAGGGGCACGGGCATGGCCATGTGGCTTGCTTGGGCCTAATGAGGGGAAAGAAAGACCCTAGGACTAGGGGGCTGCTGGCCTGAGGGGGGACACTTCAGAGAAGGGCCCCTGCTGAACTCAGGGCCTCCCGCTGTCTTGCAGCACCCTCAGGGCTGAAGCTGAGCGCCGACCAGCTGGTCCTGGTCTACAGCACCCTGGGGCTCTGCCTCTGTGCCATCATCTGCTGCTTCCTCCTGGCGGTGGCCTGCTTCCTCAGGAGGAGGGGGGACCGGTTCTCCTGCCAGCCGCCCCCAGGGCCGTGTCGGACTCCGGCCAAGTCCTCCAAGGGTGAGCATGAAATGGGAGTCCTTGCCCTCCCGCTGCTGTGGGCCGAGCGACGGGCCGTCCCTCTGTGCTGGCACTGCCCCTGCTTCTAGATGAAGCGCGCTTGGTCGGCTCTCCCTGGGCCAGGTGTGGGCAAAGCCCTGCAGTAGTTTTCCTGTCTTGGTGAAATTAGGTTCAAAGCTCAAGGCCAGGAGAGACAGGTACCTGAGGAAGGAGGGGGGCAGGGGACAGCCAGCAGGTTGCAGGGGCCTGGAGGGTTTGCCCGGATGCAGGGCTTTCAGGGCCAAAACCGAGAGAAGGTGGCCACCCTAGGGGTCTGGGGGCGCGGACAGAGTGTTAGCCAAGTGTGAAAGCCTGCTCCTGCACAAGCAGAAGGGGAGCTGACGCTGGCTGGGGCTGCCTGGGGGCGGCCGGGTGGAAGAGGGCACCGCGGGAGTGCAGGACAGTTTACGGTCTCCCAGAAGCATTTCCTTCTGCTGAGAGCCCGGCCTGCTGACCCCTGGCTGCAGGAGTCGGGGACAAGGCCAATGCCCTCTCTCCTCCCTGCACACAGATCACTGGATGGAAGCTGGAAGCGCGGCGGGCGGCCCGCCGGAGCCGGTGGAGACGTGCAGCTTCTGCTTCCCGGAACGCAGGGCGCCCACCCAGGAGACCGCGGGCGCGCCCCAGACACCCGGGCCCGAGCGCGCTGGGTGGTGGGGGCGCCGCGGCCAGACTGTGGCCGGACAGCCCTGTGCGCATGCCCCCAATGGCGGCCTCGAGGTCGTCTGTGCGCCCGCCCAGGAGGGAGGCCTGGCCACGTGAAACGGTGGGGGGCGGGGAATGGTGAGAGGAGAGGGATGGGGGGCGGGGACTGAGCCAGCGGGCGAAAGAGAGAGATTGTTGGGGGAGAGATGGGGGAGAGAGGAGGAGAGAGCCGGAGCAGGGAGGGGATGGGAAGAGAGAGATGGTTGAGAGGGAGATAGCAAGAGAAAGGGAGGGGGAGGTGCCAGGACAGGACGCTGTCCCTGCCTTTACCCCAAGTCTCCACTATAGGTCACCATCACCCAAACACACCTGCAATAAGGTCGCCCGCGCCTGCTGGACACAGCCCCCAAGAACCCTTCTGTAGAAATAAAACCTTCCACGGCTGCCCGCTCCTCACTGTCGTGGTTGTGGTCGTGTCTTCCCTGGGATGCCTCTGGACGGCCCCTCTCACCGGCCTGCCCCGGCTCATGGTGTCGGCACACACAGCGGCAGCTGCCGGCCGAGGACCCGCGTGTGGACTGCCGCGCCAGGCCCCGAGAGCTCGTGGACCCGTCAGTGGGGAGCAGTGGGTGCACACGGGCTCTGCTGCTTGCTTTCTTTGACGAGGGAAAGCGGAGGAAGAGGAGAAAGATGAAGACCGGCCTGCAGAAAGCATTTGTGGCCAACACCAGAACCAGGGCTGGGCTGCCTACATTTCTTCCAGGAAACAAATTCCCATCTTGCCTCCTTAGGGAGGGCATGAGGCACAGAGTGTGCATGCATTTGCGTGTATGTACACGCACGCATGTGTGTGCTGAGGCTGTATGTGTGCACATGTGCATACACATATGCGTGTATGTGCGCGCACGTGTGTATGCATTGGGGTGTGGGGTGGACAGGAAGGGGCAGGCAAGCTGAACCCAGGGCACCTCGCTGCTCTGCAAGCCTGAGGCTGCTCCCTGGACCACAGCGGGCGTGCTCTCCCCCGCGCCCACCTTCACCGGCTCTAGCCACCAACCTGCACTGTTAGTTGCTTAATATTTTTCTTTACATTAACTCACCTTTTCTTCCATACTTACTTAAACCTCATGCTAAATTTTATGGGTTCTGAGTGATAACACTAAGCAATAATATGTGAGTATTCACAAATTTTAGATGCTACCTATATTTTATATTTCTATTTTTATTAGCATTGAAACCTATATTTTAGTAGCATTTAAACCTTAAAAATGCCTAACTATTCTTAGAAGCATTTACACTGTAAGATAAATACACGATTATGCAAATTAAAATTACTCATCCTTCACCACTCAGAATTACCTTGCACACCTGTTTGCACCACAAGCTCAGGGGACGCACTTTGGGAGGTGTAGACAGGACAGCGGAGCTCTGTCTTTCCACCCTCCGCAGGCCGACAGGCTGTGGGAGCTTCCTAGGGCTGCCGCACAAGGCACCACCCTGGGCGGTTCTCACGCCGACAGTGACGTGGGACAGTTGAGAGACGTCCAAATGCAAGGACTCGACTCCCCCCCTCCCCGCCGAGGGCCGGGAAGGAGGCATCTGTGCCAGGCCTCTCCCCCCAGCCTGGGGCTTCCCCCTGCGTGTCTGCGTCCAATTGTTCCTTTCATAAGGACTCCAGTCATATTGGATTAGGGCCACCTCATGACCTCATCTAACTCGATCACCTCTGTAAAGACTCTACCTCCAGATACGGTCACATTCCGAGGTGCAAGGGGTTAGGACTTGAACGCATGAATTTTGGGGGACATGATTCGGCCCAGAACACAGGCCCTCCCGAAGTCCACCTGCTTCATCTCTGTCCACAGGCAAGTGAGCTTCTAGAGTACCTGTTGACACGTGTCTGACCCATTGTACAGTCGGCCCAACATGGCAAACGGCAACACCGTGGCCACCAGTTTTCCTACCACTGTGCCTAACGCAAGGGGCTTATTACAGGCTTGACGCTAAAACCCTGTCACTGGTGTAGACAGTAGCTGGATGTCGGAGATGTAGCAGCACATTTGGGAGCTACACAGATGCCGCTTGGAGTGTTAAGGCTTGTCTGAAAGCTGCACAGGTCCCGTTCCTTCTACAGTTTTCAGATTCTGCTCACCTGGCTGGGGCTCCGGGGATGTTTCTGGTCTGGGGGGGAGGGTGGGGCGTAGTTAGGGTTGCTGAAAACACAGGCAGCTGAGTGCCCAACTCCGACTTCCATCTAACAAAAACCTTGCTTTTGTCAGTTTTTCAATTGACATTTTGTATAAGCTCTTGGTTTTTGTGTTTTTAAGACAGATCCCTTGCTAGAAAGAAAATCTGAAAGTCTAAATACTGTCCCTTTACCCATGGTCTGTGTTCTGTTGGTTCCAGCTCCAAAATATATTGATTCCCACCACTTGTCACAACCTCTTGAAGCTGGGCTCCCGTCACTTCTCACCTGGGTGACTGCACCAGCCCCCACTGGCTTCCCTGTGGCCCCCTTGTCCCCTAGCCTAGGGCTCAAGAAGCTTTTCTGAAAGGGATCAGATAGAAAGCATCTTGGGCTATGTGGAGCAGTCTCTGGGGCAGGTCCTCGGCAACTGCTCAGCTCCACCCAGCAGCACCCCTGCAGCCACACGAGAAACAAACAACGGGGAGCGGGTGCTGAGGAACCCATGGATACAAACAGGCAGGGGCTGGATTCGGACCTCGGGCCATGGCTTGCCAGCCCCGCCCTACTTCATGGCAACACTGAGCTTTTTTCTTTTCAGCTTTATTGAGATATAATTGACATATAACATTGTGTAAGTTTAAGGTGTACCACGTGTTGATTAGACACACTTATATATTGCAAAATGCTTACCACCTAGCCTAGCGAACACCTCCATCCCAGCCCGCAATCAGCATTTCATCCCCTCTTCATAGTGAGGACATTTACGATCTATTCTCTTAGCAACTTTCAGGGACATGAGCTGGTGTTGTTAGCTAGTCACCACACTGTACCTTAGACCCTCCTTGTTAATCTTACACCTGGAAGTCTGTGCCTTTGACCAACCTATCCCATTGTCCCGATGCCCAGCCCCTGGTAACCACCACTCTACTTGGTTTCTCTGAACACTGATCTTTCTATTCATGCCTCTTTAAATTTTTCTTTTTTGAGGAAGATTAGCCCTGAGCTAACATCCATGCCCATCCTCCTCTACTTTATATGTGGGACGCCTGCCACAGCATGGCTTGACCAGCGGTGCTAGGTCCACACCTGGGATCCGAACCGGCGAACCCTGAGCCACTGAAGCAGAGTGCGCGAACTTAACCACTGCGCCACCAGGCCAGCCTCTAAATTTTTTTCAATAGTTGTTCACAATACACATCTTTACTTAATCACAATCAAGCCTCAAATAATATCACTCCACATGTAGTATAATAACCTCACAACAGCACACGCCAATCCCGCCCCATCTTTTGTTCTGCTCTCGTACGTATTTTACTCCTACACATTCTATAAACTTGCAAGACATTGCTGCTATTTTTGCTTTAGAAATTCAGTATCTTTTACAGGGATTAAAAATAAGGAAAACAGCATCTTTTAATTGACTTTCATTTCTGGAAATCACTTTTTGTGTGGAGACCCCATTCTCCATCTCGTATTGCACTCCTCCTGTCTGCAGCACTTTCTTGAACGTCCCTCACAGTGCCGTCTGCAGGTAATGAGCTCTGTGCGTGTGTGTGTTTGGGAAGCCTCCATTTTGCTTCCACTTCTGAGAGGCATTTTTTCCAGGGACAGGCTTCCGGGTGCCGGCTTCCTCTCTTCAGCACAGTGAAGACGTCACTCCATTGTCTCTGGCTTGCACGGTTTCCGACGAGACATCTGCCGCGATTGCTATCTTTGTTTCTCTGCAACGTGTGCCTGCAAATTTTTCTCTTTATCTCACTTTTTAGCAGTTTGAGTATGACATGTCGAGGAGCTTTTTGCTGTGGTTAGGTGCGTTCTGTTATTTATCCTGCTTGGGATTCTCCAAGATTTTTGGATCTGTAGCTTGATGTTTTTCATTATTAAAAAAATTATTGGCCATTATCTCTTCAAAGTGTTTGATATTGTCCCACAACTCAGGTGCCCTATTCTTTTAGGGTTTTTTTTCCCTTTCTCTTTTTTCTTTGTGCTCAGTTGCGGTGGTTTATACTGGCCTTCAACGTTCACGCTTCTTTCTGCGGCTGTGCCAAGTTCACTGGCGGGCCTGTCAGAGGCATCCTGCTCTCTCCCCTTGGGTTTTTCTCCTGCCACTTCCCCGTGACTCTTCTTAGAGTGTCCACCCCTGTGCTGAAGCACCCATCTATTCATGCAAGCGTGCCCCATTTTCCATGACAGCTTTCAACACCTTCATCGGAATTATTTAAAATTTCCTGCCTGATGGTTTCGGCACCCAGCTCATCCTCGCGTCCGGCTCCACTGATGGGGCCCCACAGGGTTTTTTTTACTGAAGGCCAGACCTGTGGGGGCAGGAGTCAGACTGAAGTAAGCAGTATTTGTGCCCGGAAATGGACTCGCCTTCTCCCTGGCCCAGCCTTTAGTGTGAGGGATTCAGTCAGCCGAGTCCTGAGTTGGGCTGGGCTGGGTTTTCTGGTTGCTGGGGTCACTCTCAGGACCTCACTGGCTTCAAATCCCCTGCTGTCACCACATGCTCAGGTCGGGGCTGGGTTTCTGCTCCGCCCTCAGCAGTGCAGCTCCCTGCGGCCATGGCCTCAGCCAGGGCCTTTCACCACTTCTCCCCTCTGTTGGTCGGTGCCACCACCGGTACTTGGTGCTTGTTGCCCTGGGGGCGCTGTCTGTCATCCTGTTCTGACTCAGGCTCAGGCAGGCCCTGTGTTCCCTGGTGAGGGAATGAGGCTTTTCCAGTGGCCCTCCCCTCCCCCAGGAGTAGGAGCCGTCTCCTTGGTCAGGCTGGGGACAGTTTCCTGCCCGCTAACCGCAGTGGAGGGTATTTCCTTTCCCTTCCTACCACCCTCAATAGATTTTCACTTGCATCCGGACAAGGCTTTTGTTAGGGAAGAAAGGTCTGTGTGCCATCTGTGCACCACCTGCGTGCCCAGGCCTGTCCACTGCGGGCAGCTCTCTGGTCTGCCACTCTGTGCCCAGTCTTTGTTTTCATGAGGGTGCAGTGGAAGTCTGTGGAGAAGAATCTGCAAGTGGATGTCAGCTCCCCTCGTCTGCAGTCCCCAGGAATTCCCCGCTCTGGTGCTAAGGCACTTGCAGCCCTTGACCATTCTTTACAGCCTGCCGAGCAGCTTGGCAGTTTTGCCTTCTTCCCTGCGCTCGCCCACAGGGGTTCTCTCCTTGGAAGCACTGCCCTCCTTAGACAAGAGATGATTCTGCAGATTGTCCGGCTTTTCACTGCCAGGGAATGACTGGTGCCCTCTCTGGCTTTCTGCTTCCTCAGTGGCAGCCGAAGCCAGATCGATCTTTTCAAAAGCAATTAGATCACGTCTCTTGACCAAAACCTTCCAGCAGTTTCTTGACACACTATAAAGTCTCGCCTCTTACAAGGGCCTTGGACCCCCTGGTCTGGCCCTGCCTTCCTCTCCCTCTCAGCTCCTACCACGCTCCGGGGCCCACCGCCAGCCAGGCACACTTGCCCTGGTCCTCAGAGGCCCGGCTCCCTTCCTCACTCCTGCGCCGGCCCCTCTACCGTGATCCAAAGACGAACCCTCCCATCAAAGAATGAAAGCAGCCACAGTGACAGTCGCTACCGCATCCCCACTTAACGCACTGTGGGCCTGCGCAGTCTGAAGGATCTCAGAGGACGCCCGCGAGGCTCTAACCTAACCAGGGCCGTCCATCGCAGCTGCCGGCAGGCTCAGTACCTTCACTGGAGCAAATCAACACAGCCCCCGGCACGAGGTCCGCATCCACTGACCTGGCAATGCCTTGTTCCCCATACCAATTTGGAAGGACCACCAAAGCGGTCTGCTTTTACCCAGCAGGGCCAACAGCATACCTTCACCATATAGTCTCAGGGCTGCATTAATTCTGCTTTCTGCTATCACAGTCTACAGACATACTGACCATCTTGACATTCCATAAAATATCACTCTGGCCCACTCTATGGATGACATTTTGTCATTGGCTCTGATAAGAAGGAAGTAGCAAATTCTATAGATGCTTTAATGACAAGTGAACCAAAGCATAAGAAACAAACTCCTCCAAACTCAGGGGCCCTCAACTCAAGGAAGTTTCTGGGTATTCAGTGGTCTGAAGCATATCCAGCTGCCCTGTTCAAGGCGGAAGACCAGCTGCTGCACCCGGCACCTCTCACCATGCGGAAGGCGGCCCAGCACCCGGCAGGCCCTGCTGGGTTTTAGAGGCAGCACGTACCACAGTTGAGTGTTAATCCGACCCGTCATCTGGTGGCACCATATGGCTCCCAGTTTCAAACGGGAACTGAGTAAGTTCAGACTGTTGTCTGTGCTGCAGTAGCACTCAGATCTCTTGATCCAGAAGATCCGAAGATACTCCAAGTGTCCATGGCAAATAAGGATGCTTTACGGAAACTCCAGCAAGGACCAGCTGGGAAGCAACAGCAGAGACCTCCAGGATTTCAGAGCAGATCAAATCAATGTTCTCTTCTGCAGATATTTATTCTCCCTTTTAGAAATAGCTTCTGCTCGTTTCTCAGATTTAGCAGAGACCGAACACCTAATTCCGGGGCAGCATGCACAACCAAACGAACTGTGTGACCCGCTCAGCCCTAAGACTGAGTGCGTGCAGCAGCCACCTATCATCTAGTGGACATGGCATGTAGAGACTGAGCTCGGGAGTGTCCAGAGGGCACAGTCAACTGCATGAGCAGATGACAGACTCTTTCAACAGACACGTGGTGCAAGGCCTCCTCCCGTGTTCCCTGCGGCCAGACGACTGGGTATGATTCTGAAGAACAGTGATGGAGGAAAATCCTCCCCGAGAGTGGACTTCGACTGGCCCATCTGGTTGTCTGCCTCGTCCAGATGAGAAAGGGCCAAAGCACCGATCCACGTTGGTTCACGGGGAGCAGCTAACAGCTTCACTGGAGGGTTGAGGACTTGGAACAGGACTCAAAGATTAGTGACAAGATCTGGGTGGGGACAGACCTCTCAAAGTGGGCACAGACTGTGAAGATATCTGTATCCATGTGTGCCCACCAGAGAATCCTTACAGAGGATGCTCGTAACGATCAGAGGGACAGAATGGCATGCCTTGTGAATGCAGTCAGCTTCTTTCCCCAGCCACCATGCTTGCTCAGGGGACCCATGAACTCAGTGGCCATCTAGACAGGGATGGAGGCTAGCAGAGGCTCAATGCCACAAACTCACCCTGAATAAGGCCACCTGCCACTGCGTGCCTCAGCGCCAACAACAGACCCTAGCACGCATTCCTAGAACAGCATTTCCCAGGAGGACCAGCCAGCCACCTGGCAGCAGGCTGACTACGCTGGGCCTCTTCCATTACGGAAGGGGCAGAGATTTGTCTTTACTGGAATAAACCCACATTCTGGACGTGGATTTGCCTGCCCTGCCCATCAGCACCACCATCCACCATCACATTCCACACAGCACTGCTTCATCAGGGAACCCAAGTCACAGCAAAGGACATGCAGCAACAGGCTTGTGTCTGTGGAACTAACTGCTCCCGTCACCTCACTCCCCACCTGGAAGCAGCAGGGCTCACTGGAGACTCGGTTCTGGTGAAGGGATGGGGCTGTTTTCCAGGATGGCTTCCACTTTAACCAGAGCGCCCCCATCCCGGCAGCAGGTGCGAGTCCGAGGGGCAGTGGGATCGGCACTCTTCAGTATCATATTGAATAACCCAATCACACACTTTTCTTATTCCTGTCCTGGAAAACCCAGGCTTTGCTGGTTTGACAGTCTTAGACCTCGAGGCAGGAGTTTCCCCGGGGGGGCACAACAGTGGTTCTATATAATTTGAAGAGACTGCCACACAACAGGGACAGACAGTCTAAGCCTGGAACCCAGTGGGATTCTCTGATGCCAACGGGTCTTCCACATAAGGGAAGGAAAGGAACTTGTCACAAAGGCATCCAAACAAGGACACCTCAGGAACGAGGGTGCGGGTCAGCCAGGTTACAACCAGCTGCAGTTCCCAGGACAGCGGAGGTGGACAGGGAGGGGCAGGAGATGCCACAGGCATTGACAACAGCCCTGTGACCAGAGTCAAGGGCAGCACTCAGCACATACCTCGTCTTTGCTTATTTATTTATACACGCTATTTTCTCATCACGTGGGGAGCTTGCTACACCTGCAGATCCCCACACCACATCCCAGGTCTCGTAATCCAGCTGGGGCAAGAACTCCTGCACGTGGAGAAGACCCTCGGGTGCGCACACCAGAGTCTGAAGGCCCATGGCTCTCCTGGATCTTGACTATGCCACCATCCTGCCCAGAGGAGGAGGAAAAGGTCAAAGAAGCAGTGGGCCACTCACAGAAACGAGACCAGGTGGGCTGCACGGACTTCCCAACGCCCAGAGCTGGCACAAGCTGGGCCCGCGGCTCCAGCACTGGACTCGGTGGGTTCTCGTCTCAGCAGGGTCTGCCCTGCGGGCGTCCACAGACAAGGAGGGCCTCTCATCCCCTGGCCCCCGTTTGGCCGCTGGCATCAGTAAGGGGACGGCTGGCCGATTTTCAGAATAAAACGTAGCTTTATTATGACATAGGAACGACTACAAGCCATTGGGGTGGAAGGTAGAGTCAAACAGTTGCTCCAAACGACAGGGAGAAAGGAGGTGTAAACGTCTTGGCAATAAAGTCCACAGCATGATCAGTGGAGTCCTCTCCTAACAATTTTTGTTTTCAAGGTTATAGCAAGGAAACAGTCGCTTTAACTGTCAGAGAAGAGCAATTTTACGTAATGAAAGCACACACACCAAGCTGGACTACAACAGCACAGGTGGATGCGGCGTGGGCTGCTCCGGCGCCCGGCCTGGAGGGGAGGCCTGGCCACTCCACCTCCCCGGCCCCACTCTCCTGGCACTTTACACTGTTCGGAACTCACTTCAGACACCAGAGGGAGAGTCCACTGTTCCAGTGTGAAGCGCTGAAACGACAGCCGTCATCTCAGGAACACAGGACATTTTAAACACACTGCTGCGAGTGGAGGGGGTCACCAACGATTCCTTAGTGGTCAGACGTACTTGGTCATGATTGGAAAACCGACACAGGGGTAGTTATTAGGAAACAAGAAAACCATTTTCCTGAAGTTAACAGTCAGATTGGGAGCTAAAAGGAAAGAAATTCCCAAACCCATCATGTAATATTTTGTTCCCAACACGATGAACTCAGACGAGCGCGTCGACGGCAGGCCCTCTGGCCGGCAGTGCAGCACCAGCGGCTCCTGAAGCAGTGCGCCAGCCGCAGGAGAACTTCTCAGTAGCAGAGAGGGGGGTAAGTGCTTAGAATGCCAATGCCAAAGGGAATAAAGAGAACTAATTTGGATACAAAAGTTTAATGTCTATAAAACATAAACACGGCCTCACTGTCTCTCCCCAGTCCTCCTGTGCTCAGAGCAGCTGAGCCCCTGAACCCGAAAGGAGACAGGAAGGGGTGCAGGGGAGGAGACACATGTGGGGAAGCAGGGCTGGCAGGCCACAGGGAATCTGCCAGGAAACCCCACAGCCAATCCATCTGCTTTGCCCCCACTTTGCACCCAGGCCCTGCAGCAAAGCGAGGTGGCAAACCAGAGGAGATCTGCGGGCTCAGAGCTCTGCAGACCCGCTTCAGTCCCTTCTGCCTTCCCTTGGATTTGTTCCTTATTACAAGACAGCACCTCCCCAAAGGAACTTAGCACAGCACAGTCACACACGCACACACATCCCTTGGGCAAATGGGGACATTTCCGGAAAGCTCGCACCCACCCATATTTCTCTGATAATGCTATTTGAAAACATGCTTTAAAACTTACGCTCCTTAAATGCAGAAATACAACTGAGAATGAACTGTGCAAGTGCTTAAAAAATTGTATCACTAAGGATTTTGCCATATATGATGATTCTGCAGCATATGATTGCTGATTCACATACTCTAGCATTTTCCAGGCTGTGCAGTAACTACTCAACTCCTAACTTAACTATCTAATGAGCCAGATCTGGTCCACTGACTGTTTTTCTATGTCCTGTCACCTAAGAATAGGTCACACATTTTTAAATAGAGAAAAAAATACATATCAGGATGTGAAAAGTCCCATGAAATTCAAATTGCAGCATCCATACACAAAGCTTTATTAGAACACAGCCACACTCATTTGTTTACATATTACCTAGGACAGAAACCATACGGCCCACAAAGCCTAAAGTATTTACTATCTGGCTCTTCACGAAAAAAGTTTGCTGACCCTTCAACAGCTGACTCTCTTCTTCTCCAGGAACAAATGCTCCACAGCTCAGACGCAGACTTGGCTCCCAGGACAAGCACAGCTTGTTCACAAACTATAGGAAAGCAACACTGCCTCCCCCACGGCTCTGGGTTGTAATTTCTCAGAAATGGACAATCTAAGTTTGGGTTTAAGTAGATACATGCAGGCAAGATATCTTACAAGGAACAAAGTGTTCATCTCCTCACTCAGCTCTTCCCAAAGCTCCATCACAGAGTCATCTTTTCCTGCTACAATTGCAACGACACTGGACGTGGGGCAGAGGCTCCACAATGAAGCGTGGCTCCGCTGGAAGCCACTCAGCCTCAAGCCGGCCAACAAGCAGTGACGGGACAGCCAGCGGGACAGGAGGCCAGGAAAAAAATACAAGGAAACAACTGAAAAACACTTCATTTACTTCGAAGACTACTGTGATAGAGCAGTTGTGAGCTGCAGCCCCATCCTCTGCTGCACCTGCCAGCTTCGGCCAGGACACAGATGCTTCCAGACGGGAGGGAGACGGAAAGCAACAAAACCAGCACCAATTCAAAAGCAAGTTCACTCTCGAGAATAAAGGGAAAACTATCTAAATTTCAGTATAAACTCAAGAATTCATTCACATCACTATCATTACATTTATGAAATTCACCACTATGGAAAAAGATGAAGAAGAGGGAATAAGAAAACGCCTATTTTTAGAAATCCAACAGACACCTGGCTGGCGCTTCCACATGCAGTCTGACGCTATGTCATCCGCAGAACAACGCGACTCGAACCCCAGTGAGCACCTTCCGTTCACAGGTGCTGGGGGTTCCTGATGTCTGCTGATAAAACGGAGGCTAAGAGTTCCACACTACGTAGATTTCATACGCAGACTCACACAGAGAAAGACACTTGCAAAGCCCTTGGTCCTTGCACAGCATCTCTGTCTCTACTGCTCTAATGCATCCATAATTCTAGGATGGGCTGGCGCCTTTTCAGCTCCACACTGCTGTGCAGAAGCACCAGGACAAGGCTGCCCTGTGCGGAGGGCACCCACACGCTCTCTTGAGGAGCACAGGAGAGACACAATGACTCATCTCCTCTGCCCCATCCCGCACAGAGCACAGCCTTCAGGTCGTGAGGTTCCTGGAGCCTCGCCCGGCCGCAGTGCTTGTCCAGTCGACCACCCGGGCACCCACTGTGGCCGTCTCTGGCCAGGCTGCCACGGCCCTGACACTCCTGGGGCGCTTCTGTGCGGGTGGCAGTGTCCTGTCGGGGAGTGGGGGATCATCTTGAGAGGCGGGCCAACTCATCGCCTTCCTTTGCTGAGCGGCTGCGGATGCGGTTACTCGTACTCCAGGAACTGTTTGTGGTAGAACAGCAGGTACCTGAGGACGTGAAAACACAAAGCTGCTTGCCTCCAACCCTCCCGGCAGGAGCACCTGCACCAGCACGCGCCAGCAGGCTGACGCCTTGGCTCGGTGGGTTTTGGCTCTTAGTCCCCAAGGAGGAGGATCCTTAGCCAAGGAGCAGGAGTGCCCCACCTGACGCCCGAGCCCCCAGGCCTGTCCTTCTGCCCAGCTACAACAGTTACGAGCCCCGCCAGTCCTGCCTCCCACACAGCTCTGGAACTGGCCTCTCCTGTCCAGGCCTGCTGCTGCCTTCATGTTGGGGCTGTTTTGGTGAGAACCCTGCAGTGGGTTCCGGTCCAAACCCACCTCTGCTCTGGCCTCCTCCCTGTCACAGGGCCGTCCTCTCAAACACAAACTGCTCTACACGCAATCTCCCACGGGGCCTGCCCCACTGCTTGGGACACCAAGTCCAGGAGCCTCGCAGAGTTCACGGCAGCTCATCTCTGGGGCTAGGACTCCTACTGACAGGCTCAAGACTAAGGACTTAGTGAAGCTCAAGGTGGATGACAACGTGCCAGGAAACGACATGGCCAAAGCAGAGAGGGGCCACCAGGGAAGTGACATGCCAGCTCACGCCGCGGCCACAATAAATGATCGCCCATGTTTGCTGTGTTAAGGCATTAATCAAGGGTGCCCTAGTCAGGTATATTCTCTCCTATCCAGGGACTGATCACGGCTGGTGTCCTGTCCAGAACAAGCCTCCTGACTTCAGCAACCAAAGGGGAACATCCTTCTACAGTACTAAAAACAGATGCGGCTTTGGATTCCGATGCACACATGGGGAAGCGAGCTGCCACCCCCAGACGTACCCCTCACTGTCTAGCACGTCCTCGATGCTGGCCTTGGTGATGATGGCATCGTCACACTTGAACCACTGGTCCTTGTGCTGCCTGATGAAGCTGGTGTAGTGGCCGCTCTCCAGGGTCCCCTGGTGGTTAACAACGGCAAACAAGGAGTACCTGGCAGGGGACGAAGGAGCGGGGAGACAGAGCAGTCAGCTTCACGACCGTCGGAAACCAGACAGCCTAAGCAGTCAGAAGCCTGTACGGTGAGGGGCGGCCCACTGGCCCCCAAGGGAACAGCCCAGGCAGGAAGCAAGGCCAATGTGCAGAGGAGAGCGAGCGCCCGCCGGCCCCACTCAACCCTCGCGCTGCTCTGCTGGAGCCGCCGGAGCCACGTGCAGAGGAGATACCGTAACCACGCTCTCCTTTCATTCTTCCTACCACAGCAACAGTAAAAAGCACGGCGAAGGAAAAACAGAGGCTTTACTGCAATGCCGGCAGAGGCAGAGGAGATACCGTAACCGTGCTCTCCTTTCATTCTTCCTACCACAGCAACAGTAAAAAGCACGGCGAAGGAAAACAGAGGCTTTACTGCAATGCCGGCAGAGGCAGAGGAGATACCGTAACCGTGCTCTCCTTTCATTCTTCCTACCACAGCAACAGTAAAAAGCACGGTGAAGGAAAAACAGAGGCTTTACTGCAATGCCGGCAGAGGCAGAGGAGATACCGTAACCGTGCTCTCCTTTCATTCTTCCTACCACAGCAACAGTAAAAAGCACGGCGAAGGAAAAACAGAGGCTTGACTGCAATGCCGGCAGAGGCAGAGGAGATACCGTAACCGTGCTCTCCTTTCATTCTTCCTACCACAGCAACAGTAAAAAGCACGGCGAAGGAAAACAGAGGCTTTACTGCAATGCCGGCAGAGGCAGAGGAGATACCGTAACCATGCTCTCCTTTCATTCTTCCTACCACAGCAACAGTAAAAAGCACGGTGAAGGAAAAACAGAGGCTTTACTGCAATGCCGGCAGAGGCAGAGGAGATACCGTAACCACGCTCTCCTTTCATTCTTCCTACCACAGCAACAGTAAAAAGCACGGTGAAGGAAAAACAGAGGCTTTACTGCAATGCCAGCAGAGGCAGAGGAGATACCGTAACCGTGCTCTCCTTTCATTCTTCCTACCACAGCAACAGTAAAAAGCACGGTGAAGGAAAAACAGAGGCTTTACTGCAATGCCGGCAGAGGCAGAGGCCAAGAAGCCCAGATTTCAGATGCTGAGCTTTCTCTCTTGGACGGCAGCAGCCAGACTGAGCCTCCCTCACACACAGGGCCGTGGGAGAGGGGTCCCGCCCGGCGACAGGAGGGGGTGTTTATGACGCGGGCGTGAAGAGCCCTTTCCTAACAGAGGGCTCAGGTGTTTCAACACAGGACAACAGACAGCGAGACAGGAAGCAGGCCAGTGGCCAAAAGGAACGAGAGGTCTGCCACCACCACTTATGAATCAGGTTGCCTCCCCAAGAAACGCTGGGAGGGCCTCTCTGCTCACCTGCAGGGACACTCAGGGTACACCCAGAAGGGACCACTTACTTGTTATCGTTGTTGAGACTATCCATGGGCTGCTGGTACTGTCCATTCATCCTGCTCTCTTTGCTGTAACCAACGACAGCAAAACTCAGCATCACTTAAAACAATGAACCAAAGGGAGACCTGGCTTGAATGATGACACCAATACTGCTGGGGGCCCACTATGCCAGACACCATGCTGGGTACATCCTATACAGGCCTTCCAGTTCTGCCCACAACTCTCCTTTTTAGGAGAGATTGCCCCGCATTAAGGTGAGGAAACAGAGGCTCAGGGTGGTGAAGTTAACTGTTGAAAGCACACCTGCGTGAGACACGGAGCCAGAGAAGGTCCAGATCAACGTGGCCCCAGCTCCGGCAAGGGCGGGATCTTCCTTCAGCCCTGCCAGCACCTTGTTGCTTACGGGCCCCCACGTTCGTGGCAATTTGTTACAGTGGCCCTTGCAAACTACCACGTGTCTGAGGTGTCAGTGCCGCGGTTTTCAGGAGGGTAACTTTCTTTTTTACAATAATGAACGATGCTTTATTGATGTGGTACCTTGGTTGATCATACTGTTTTTCTAATCTGCTTTTCTGAAAATTAGGTCATCAAATTTATGCTTTTAGCAAAATGATTTTTTTATTGTAGTAACATTGGTTTATAACATTATACAAATTTCAGGTGTACAACATGCATTTCCATTTCTGTGTAGACTATATCATGTTCACCACGCAAAGACGAATTACCATTCGTCACTGTAAACACGAGCCCTGTCACCCCTTTCGCCCTCCTCCCCTCTCCCTTCCCCTCTAGTAACCACCAACCCAATCTCTGGAGGGTGACCTTTAAGATGAGGTCATAATTCGGTTTGAGCAGGGGCGGTTGTATCGATGTCTACAATCGCCTCCCCAGGGACCTGTGCCCTGACCCAGAGCCACACCCCCACAAACCCTCTCGTACCTGGACGCCATGAAGGGGGTCATGTCCAGCTCCAGGGGAAAGGACACGTATGTGGTAATCTTCCGCCTCAGTTTGGCCGAGTGTTCGAATCGCTACAGAAATGGGGGAGAAGTGGGAGGGGAGAGGAACGGAGCTGTGAGGGGCTTCCTCTGATGGCAGTTCTCTGTGCACTCCCAAACGTGGGCTTTCCATCGACCTTCTGAACTGCCTTCTGGCCACGTCTAGAGCTTACAGACTCAGTAACACAGTACCAACCCAGAGAAATCTAATCTATGGGGTTCGAGTCAAGGCTTGAAATGAAGTGGTGGTTCAAAGTGATAAACACCAGGTGTACAAAAAAGTAATCTCACCACAAACCCTGCAAAGCGCAAGGTGAGAGAAAGCAGAACGAACACCCACAGCCTCTGGGAGCAAAAGCGAATATACCACTCCTGTCACCAGACAAGACATTCCTCTGACCAGATCAGGGGCCACCAAAGCCAGCCGGCAAGCTAGGAATTGTTTTTTTAAAAAAATCATAAAGCAAAGAAGAATATGAAACAGAGGTGGCACGTGGCCGTGAAGCCTAAGCTACCTGCCATCCGGCCCCTGAGGAGACCCCAGTGCCAAGGGCCTTAGTTTGCTTTCAAGCAAACCCTTGGGAGGCAGCCGGAAGAATCGGGCAGGAGCAGCAGCAGCCCCTTAGCACCCCCGCGCCCAGTGGAGGGGCTCACGCCCTGGTTTCCCGATGGAGCAATCACTTTTCTTCTCCACAAGCCTCTCCCGGCTCCGGAACTGGGAACAGAGCCACAGCTCGTCACCCGCTGCTTCCTTCAGGGCTCCTCACTGGGTCTCTGCGTTATAACGTACTCCACATCCCCCAGCGGGCTCCAAGCTGCACTTGGACAAACAGCTGAGTCTGCCCCCGGAGGCTGCTCCCTGGAGACCCACCTTGAGGTGGAAACAGGCCACGATGGGCAGTTTCTTCATGGTGAGCTGTTTGGTGGACTCCTGGTAGCTATGGCAGCCGCTACACTTGATCTTGGCGCTGCTGCCTAAGTGCTCTGGCCTGGTAAATCTACAATGCATTTTAAAAAATGTATTTTTAGGAAAAGAAGATGGGAGAGGTCAGAGAGAAGAGTTATCACTTTCAGTGGTTTCAATTAACCGATTTCCCTACTAAAAACATCAAGTTAGGGACGTTTACAATTTTATGACGATGACAACAAACTATTTCTTCCTTTCTCCCCTCTATCACTTTAAAAAATATCTTAAACTTTTTTTTAAAGAAGTCTGGTGAAATAGTAATAATTTTCCAACTACCATAAGATCCAGAAGTCAAATTTGTCCCAGAAAAATGAAATCTTGTGTTCACACAGAAACTGTACATAACCTAAATGTCCTTCCATGGTGAATGGTTAAACAATCTGTGGTACATCTTTACCATGGAATACTAGTCAGCAATAAAAAGGAACCAACTACTGATACACACAACCTGGGTGAATCTCCAGAAAATGATGACGAGTGAAAAAAGCCAATCCTGAAGGGTTACAGGATGTATGACTGCATTTACGTTATATTCTTGAAATGTGGAATTTACAGAAAGGGACAACAGATTCGTGACTGCCAGGGACTAAGGAGGCAGTTGTGGTGGGAGGGCAGGAGGTGTGGCTGTAAGGGATCCTGCAGTGACGAAATGCCCTGCATCTTGGCTGCATCCATGTCAATATCCTGGCTGTGATACTCAACCACAATTTTACAAGATGTTACCACTGGAAAAGAGTACACGGGATTGCTCTGTATTATTTCTTACAAGTGCATGGGAAACTACAACCATCTCAATATAAAAAGTTCAATTAAAAAAAGGAGATGTTTGCAGAAATGGTAATTTTCTAGTGATGATGAGACAGACTCAGCTATGCTGAGACAGCAAGCATTTCTGGCACAGGTGGTAGCTACTAAAGATAAAAATCCCTAAAACAGATGTTTCAATATAGTTCATGCCAAATTTTTAAAGTTTAAAGCTGAAAAACAAATATAAAATTCAACCTTTTCACAATTGGATCTGGAAATGCTCATTTATCCTTTGGAAATTCTGTCACCCCACGAGGGTGAGATGATGCCGCCACCCGAAGCTGAGCCTGTCTGCCCATGAGGTGCCTGGAGCCGGAGCGTGGATAGAACGGCTGGGTCTCGTGGAGGTGGCAGGACGGAGCGTGGCATCTGAGCCGCTCACTGCAACCTCAAGACTCAGCCCACAATGCACAAGCAAAACCCAGAGGTGGGACAGTCTGAGGATAAACCATCTTCTTTTCAACAGAGAAGGGGCACGGAGAGAAGAGATGGCAGCTGAAGCCTGCGGATCTGAAAGGGACTCTGAGACCAGCACCAAATGTAACAGGGGGACCTAGTTTGGATCCTGCTTCGTGGGGAAAGCTTCAATTTTATTGAAATTTACAACTAAATTTAGTTTAGTTATAGACTCGCTTGAAAAACGTTTTTTTTTGCTTTTGATTTCTCATTTCCATATTTTCCAAATTAAAAATTTCATACTCCATTTCTATCTAGACATATCAGTGTAACAAAGCTGATGCATTTTAAAATTCTAAACATGCACCTCTGGGCCTGCTGACGACACAGGAAGGTAACAACCTGGAAGCTTGTCTGTCTTCATAAGGAACACTTCCACCCAACAAGGACTCGTCTACAGTGACCCTTAATTGATGCAATTAAAACAAAATAAAAGCTATGAAACTCCAAACTCAATTAAAGTTTTGGAAGGGGTTCTGGTTTCCCCACAATTGTACGTCACCGCTATTTAAACGCGTTTTACAGCACCCTAAATCTTATCGCTCATCTCAATCAACAACGTGTAAGTGGACAGGCGGAGCCTGGACTGTGTGGGCAGCACTCCAGGTCTGCATCACCGGCAGAAGTGGATGCTGCCACAGCGTGAGGCCAGCTCGTCCAGTGCAGGCGCTGGGGTAGGTTACTATCACAAAAGGGGAGGGAGCTTCGCCTGCTGCTCTGTGGCTCTGTTAATTTACATGGCGGGGGGGGGACAATAGCTGTAATACAGACATTCTAAAACACAAAGCTGGGTGGATAGAAAAAGCTAGCCATCCTGCAAAAATGTGACAAACTAGTAGGAGCCACTGGGCACCAACAACAGCCATCGGCAGGGTGACATATCTTCTCTGTTTTATACCGGACGCGTGAAAGAAAATCCTACAGCGGCCCTGGGCGGCCCTGAACTTACCAGGACTTGACTCTGACAGCCTCGAGGCAAGGAGACGACACTGGCCAGGAAGCCCTTACTTTCCCTACACAGCGCAAGACAGGCTTCTCACCTTCGCAGGCAGTCCGTGAGAGTGGTGGTTCCTGAGACGTGGCTTTCCCCGTTCACCACGCTACCCTCGCTCCCTGGGCTCAGGGGCCAGAAGGGGGTGGAAGAGCCAGGCAGATCTAAACTGATGTCCCAGAAGGGATCTATTGTGGTGGAGACGCCACTAGAAGCAAACGGAGATGAAAGCCCATGAGAACTGACATCCACACACAGCTTCAGAAGTCCCACTGGGTGGAGCGAATCTCAACTCCGCCCTTTTATGCAAACGACATCGAAAGTCAGAAAAAGCAGAGTGCTCACACAAATGTGTCCTGGGCTCCTAAGAGGGCCTGGGAAGGGAGCATGTAAACCACTTCAGGCAAAGGCTGCTCCTAAAGCAATGGTTTGCAAACCAGCAGCTCATCAGTCACTGTGGGATCTTTGGGAAAATATAAATTCCTGGGCTCCATGTCCAGAGGTGCTGCATCGATGGATCTCTCTTGGCCGCATGTGTGAACTGCAGAATTTCTTCCTGGGAACCGGGCACTGCCGGCCTTGGTAGTAACTTAGACCTCCAAACACACGTCACACGGAGAGCAGGCACCAACCAGGCCCAGCCCACAGGCCGCACAGCTGCATCTCGTGTTCTACTTAGCACAGCCAATTCCCTCCCAGAGCTCTATTCAAAATACGCCATGAGAAACTCTCATACTAGGAAATCCACTACACATGCGCAACAGGATGTGAACCGAGACGACCTCCTGCTGACGGAGTCGCGCACCCCAGGGCCCACAAAGGCCACCGAAACTACGAGTCTAAACCCCGCTCAGGGGGCCAGCCCATGACGACGTACGCTATGGAACAGAACGGTGCATTTTTAACACAGGCAAAACTGACCATTTTCCAATATCTAGTCTATCCTACACAAACTGCAAGCGGCAATCCATCACATTTTCTGAAGTAATTTTCGTGGATCATGGCCAGGGTTTATAAAAACTGAACTGAAACGAAAACGTGGGGGTGCACGGACACTGCGTGGGAGGGTCGAGGCCTCACCAGCCGATCGTGCTCCTTCTGGAGAGGGAGCACGGAGCTCCAAGGACAGAGCCTCCACTTGTAAAGAATTAGGGACACTACTGTGAAGAAAATGGAAAAGGAAACCATAAAATAATTAAAACTGACACGGTTTGGAGCACGTATACCAAGTATCTGCCACGTGTGGTCCAGTCCTTCTGGGGCTGTTTTATTAGGGTCCTGGTGTCAGCGACCCCCAGGAAAGCTGAGACGTGGGGGGAAAGATTCAAAGCACACAATGATGGATATGGACGGTCTCCACATGAAAAGCCACATCCCCCCTGGGGACCCTGCCCCAGACGACGTCAGCATTCAGGGTGACCTGCTAACTTCTCCTGTCCTTTGTATTGGAGCTATTTTACCTCGACACATGCCTCTGGCGTGGCTGTCTGCACTTCTCCTGCTTCTCAGCTGGCTGCTCCTCTGTAAGAGCCACACGACCTACTGGCACACCACAGAGAAGGCAGGACTGGGGTGGCGCTGAATACACGTTCGGCTCCAAGAGTTTGAAACCTTCACAAACCTCTCAGAACGCACCAGTTTTACTGACTGGAAACGCGCCCCGATGTTCACTAAGCAGTGCCGGAGTGAAGTGAGTCTCACTGGCGGGCCGGGGGTCCCACACAGTGGCCTGGCTGGCATGGCCCAGACGGCTCCCCGTGTTGCAGAAGCACCCCCTGCATCCCTCGGGAAGCCCTGCACTTACTGGCAGACCTGGCAGGTGACGTCCGACTGCAGTCCGCCTGTGAAGATCTGGTCTATGATGCAGCTGCAGTGGTTGGGGTTGTTGGCCTTCTTCCCGTTGTCGTCACCTGGGGAAAGAACGCAGCTCTGGGATTCACATCCACACCTGAGTCAGCAAGTTTCCAAGAGCCACATCCCAGGGGTGAGGCCACTCACCCGTGGAGGCAGGATGAGGCCAGGAGAGCTGACACTTTCAAAAGGGCAACAGAGAGAATTGGCAGGGAAAAGGGGATGAGCCAGTCAGTGTATTTCCAATTTTCTTCTTTCTCTCCACTCCCTAAAAGGATATCCTTAACTTCTATCCTGCCACTAAAACGTATCCAATGACCAGCAGCTGGGGAGGGTTCCTGATTCCCTTAGTGGGGCAGAGAATAACTGAGTGAAGCTTTCCACTGAGGTGGCCTGACACACTGCGGGTCAGAGGCTGCCAGGGAAGGCCCTCCTTCTCCCCCGGACTAGACACAAACAGGGGCCTCACTTCAGAAAGCATTACTGCAGAATGCTTTTCTCATCAGCTCCTGCACTCTGGGACCTCAGAAACAGCTGTTTCCCAGTCAGCTGCATCTAGGTAAGTACCACTCCCACCCTTTCCAGCTCAAGTTTTATTCATACTTGTGTGTAGACATATGAACACACGGTGGAGTGTAATACATATTAATACATATTGTGTATACATTCTATTAACTGTCATTCAACTAGACGATGGGGATAGAGAGTGTGTCCGTATGTATACATACAACACATATCAAAAAAGTAAAATTATTAAAGAGGGATAAAGGACGGACATTGGGTCTTCTGATGGCAGCTGCCTGGAGAGATTAGGGAGAAATGCTACTTAGATGGATTTCAAATTCATGGGACAAAATGCTAGGATATGGGACAATACATACAGGAAGATGCAAATAAAAATAAGCCAAAAAGACACCTGAAGGTCACAACACCATACAAGAACGCCTAACCCAGTGCGTGGGGGGGCCCGGCTACACGGCCTCCCCACGTGCTGTGAACCAGTAGCCTGATGAACTCAGAAGAATTCTGATGACGTGCTTCTATGGCAAGAGCCTTCCATTCCTTTTCAGACTCTTCAAATGGAACATGTCAGAGAAGCAGGTCACAACGGTTTCATCGTTTTTTTTGTCATATGAAAATTTTAACTAAAGCAATGCATTTCCACACAGCTGATTTTTAGAACAGATTAACAGCAGTTACAGAAGGCTCTCAAGTGGTGGAGTAATAACGCCATCACCTTCCACGGTGGCTCCTTTCTGTCGTGGACTGCACTCGATGCCAGGAAACCAAGCCTTACCCAAGCTGCTAAGCAACGCTCAGCGGGCTCCTCGGGCAAGCACTAAAAAGATCACATGTGTGTTTTCAGGAGAAAAGAACTTAAGCACAGTCAGGTGTCACTTAGTGACAGGGACAGGTTGTGAGAAACGTGTCGTTGTGCGAACGCCAGAGTGTACTAACACAAACCTAAATGGTACAGCCTACTACACACCTAGGCTGTATGGGACTAATCTGAGGGAACCACCGTCATACGTGTGGTCCACTGTTGACCAAAATGTCATTATGTGGCATACGACTGCACACATACAAAAACCCTACAACCCAAACCCATGATGACCAGAACAAGCCATCTTATTTCCGGTCTGGCTCGGCTCTGAGCTGTAACCTCAGACCACACAGGGCACTTACGAGAGACTGAGAAGCAGCAGCATGAGGCCGCTCACCAAGACCTGGACAACCAGGGTTTTGCTTCTTAAACAACATCAAGGTGAAAGAAAATTAGCCAGAGGGCTATCACCCACAACTAGCTGTCTCAGCCCAGAGGCCACAGGTAACCAGGTAACTCTGCTACCCCAGCACACTCCAGTTCTACCCGAGCATGCTCTGAGCCAGCCTAGAACTCATTAGGAATGAAAAGTGCTGACTTCACTCCAGGCCCACCAGGCAGAAACAGCAGCGAGCCCTTGGGGTGACTCCGACCACACTCAGGCTTGATAACCTCACTGGGCTAACGCCTGCGTCAGTAAACTTCCACACAGAGCCTTCAAACGGGGAGCCCGCGGTGGGCAGGGCAGGGGGACCCACTGCGGCTTCCTGCTCAGTCCTAATCTCTCGCCTGCTGCCCCTCCCCCAAACCCGCAAATCTGCAAACTGGTGAGGCCGCCGCCCTCTGGGGCCAGGCTGTGGGACTCGACTACGAGGAAGCCCAGCTCCAGCAAGATCCTAAGAGGGACTTGAAAGTAAAGGCCCTTGGCTGGATCCAAAATGAACTGACTCAGGGTCAGGGAAGCACTGGCACGGGCGAGGCTCAGGCTCCTTTACAGCACGGCCCCGCGGCCTTTTGGGAGCCCCTGAGGGGGCGGGAGCAGGAGTGCCGGTTCAGCTGTATCTGGAGCACATCTGGACGCTCCCGGTCTGCCACCACCACAACAACTCATGGGAGCCGCAGACAGGCCCCTCCCAAATCAGGCCAAGAGGAAGCTGGCGGCAGAGGACTCAGGGCAAAGGCCCATCAAGAAGGGAGAGCTCACTGTCCACCGTTACCGGTGACACAGGACCGACCACCATGCTGCTCCACTCCCAGCAAGGTCAGAAGACAACACCCAAATGGCTTCCTCCTTTCAAAAACTAAGAAGAACCTCTGTGAGGTACTAACGTGCTCTTCTTACTGGGAAAAACATGCGATCCTAACACACATGAACTCTGAGAGGCCCGCACGGAGCCCGGGCTGCAGGCGCACGGCCGCACCTTTGCAGTGCCGGTGCAGGACGTCCAAGGCCGCGATGAGGAACTCGTGGGCGTCCTGCTGCTCGTAGCCTGCCAGGTGCCGGGCGTGAGTCCACACCAGGTGCAGCAACTTGTACGGGATGTGGGGGGACCGGTGCCCAGAGTAAAACTGCTCAGAGACAGGAAACGAAAACGCTGGTCAGGAATGAATGCTACACTCCAAACACAAAGCACACACAATGGAAAAATATTTAACAGCTGCCTAGAACTTCTAACGGCTACTCTGACAAAAATGACTCCATTTTGTTTTCTTCTTTTTTGCAAACTGCACTGTTATTTGGACTCACTGACTTTTTGAGTCTGTATATCGTTTTTTCCCTTCCCACCATCTGTCTTCTACAGATAAGCCAAAATGATTTGTCAAAACAAAGAGATCTGTACACCAAAAGGTGAATTATGCCGTTTGTAAATGATACCTTAATAGATTTGAGCCTAAAAACCAATCAGATAGAGATGAATTTATCACCAGAAGTGCCCACCGGAAATGACTGGACCCACACGTGTGTAGCCCCCCCTCATTAGTTTCTCTACCACACCGCCTGTCTCTGTGTTTGGCCCGGCGACACCACTCAGCTTGTTCACTGCCGTAACCCCAGCAGTCACTGCACGCTGCAGGTACGCAGGCACCGGGTTAGGCTAGACCAAAGGTCGGCAGGCATTTTTTAACAGGTCCAGATAGCACAGGATTCCGGCTTTGCAGGCCAGATGGTCTCTGCTGCAATGGCTCGATCACTCCTGCCTCTGCTGCGGGCATGTGAGGGCCGCCAGAGCCCCCTAGGTCACTGAGGGGCGGCTCCCAAGTGGGTGTGAGACACTAAAGTACATCCAGGTGCTCTCAGCAACCTGTGGGGCAGGAAGCACTGCCCACCGTAGTCGGGTGCTGAGGGACTGTACTTGCTGAGGCCACCAAGCTGAGTGTGGAGGGTCCAGCCCAAGGATGCCTGAGCCCAGGCTGAGCTCTGCCACGCTGTAAGCACTGGCTGGAGACAGACATGGCCAAGCACGACCTGAGTGCAGCTCACGTCCAACCAGGAGAACGGAACCTGATGTTCAGAGCAGAGGACACAGAGACAGGGACCTCTGGTGAAGCAGACTGAGAAGGCTGGGCAACAGAAGACAAGACCCACTCTCTCTGAGAACAAAGCAAACAAGTGGCCTGCGCATGTCCACATGCCTCACTGTGAATCAGGATGGCAGACATCACAGAGCAGGAACGCCACAGTATTTAGGGACAAATGTCACCCACCAGCCGTGCTTCTTCCAAAGGGCTCTTTTTCATCCTCTAAGTCAGCAGTGTGCCTCTAAAAATGATGCTAATAGCCTCTTATCTAACAATCTCTTTTAGAAAAGATGTGTTCCATAATAAACGCACATATTAAATATTTACTCACTACATAAGGTTTTACAAATTTGCTTTTCTTTATAGTCAACCTTATTTTCTCTTTTTTAAAAGAGAAAACACCCCATGTAGTTAGAGAAATGTTACGCTGCAAAAGTCAACAGTGCTCACCTCCTGAAAAAGTGACGACATCTCGCAGACCAGGCAGGAGCTGGGGCTCTGCATCTCACACCTGTGCCTGTCAGAGAGGAAGAAGTCTCGCAGCAGCGGCGTGTGGGTGAGCGCCTGGACGATGCAGTTCATGAAGCAGGTATTGCCAAGGTTGATGAGCCCTCGCAGACCTGGGCAGGAGGCAGGCGGGAAAGCAGGACTGGCTTGGGCACTGAACTACAGCAGTCCCGCCTTATCTCTGCTTTTGCTTTCCATGGCTTCAGTTACTGAGATCAATCTCAGCCCAGAAACATTAAATGGAGAACATTAAATGGAAAAATAAACAATTCGTAAATTTTAAATCGTGCACCATTCTGAGCAGCGTGACAAAACCTCGTGCTGTCCCGCTCCATCCCATCCGGGAGGGGAACCATCCCCTTGTCCAGCCTGTCCACATTGTATATGCCACCCGCCCTTTAGTCACTTAGTAGCCGTCTCAGTTATCAGATTGCCTGTTGTGGTCTCTCAGTGTGAGTGTTCAAGTAACCCTCATTTTACTTAATAATGGCCCCAAAGCCAATTGTTATTAGTTATTGTTGTTCGTCTCTTACTGTGCCCAATTTATAAATTAAACTTTATCGTAGGTCTGTATGAATAGGAAAAAGCACAGTGTATCTAGGGTGTGGCACCATCTGAGGTTTCAGGCATCCGCTGGGGGTCCTGGAACGCCTCCTCTGCGGTAAGGGGGACCGCTATGTGAGTACTACTGAGTCCCAACGGCACTGCAGGGGCTTCCTCTACAGTGCGCGCTGAGTCTCTCACTCAGTCATTCAAGAAGCAAAAAGAAATGTAACATTCTTCTAATTTTTACAACACTTTTATACGAACTGTTCAGAGGAATGTTCATCACCACCCACCCAACTTCAGCCACTGTATGTTTTGATAGAATTACCCAGAGATATTCTATAACAACAGGGCAGGTCAACAAGAAGCCTCTCTAACAATCAATCAAAATTATTTTAAAAGTTTCTAAAATGTTATTTCTTGAAGTCTTAGAAAACCCAGGGAACCCTCCCCCCTACACACACATTCCTCTCCCTCAAGATCACTGTACACAGCATCGATCTGGCCAGAATGAACTTGAGCCGTTTCATGCAATGGTGTGAGGGCCGCGGGCAGCGACTGCGTCTGCCCATCCCTGCCCCAAGCCCGCTGTGGCTCCCCGCAGAGAAGACGGCTCAGGAAGTGGCTGGTGAGCAAACCGATGGGTCAGATGAATGCAGGGTCTCACAGAGAATAGTGATTCGAACACCAGCTGTAAACCCCGAGAAGTAAGCCTAGCTGGATGCGCGCAGAGCCCCCGAGCACGCGCCCACCCACCTATGGTGCAGTTGGAGGTGATCTTGCGCCTTTTGGGGTTGTGTTTCAGCAGTTCAAGCTCCCGTTTGGTTGGTTCCCAAGTTGAAAACTTTTCTCCAACGCCTAAGCAGACGAAAGACAGTTCCAGATGCCTTTAGCCCAATTTTCATCAAGTGTGTTAATAAACAAAAGCAGTGGGATATAATACTTATATCAGGTTGTATTTCAAAGAGGGACAGCCACAGCCTGAGGTCATTCTAAAACCCTATGACACTGTAAGGGACTACACAACATGCGCAGGCCTTTCTTTTAGAGGATGTGCTGTGAACAAGCTGTTTGCTGCAAGAAAAGCAATACCTCCAGTTAAAGCTAGCCTAACACTAAGGCCCAAATGGTGGTTTCTTCAAGGCCTTTAGTCCTTGAGTAGAGAGTGCAGCAGGGGCGCCAATGGGAGTACTTGGCAACCCAGATGAAGGCGTCTCCTGGGAGCGAGAGAAACTGACAGCGATGAAATGCACTTGTTGAAAGGTACTTTGAAAATACACCTTGTTGAACAGCTACACCCATAAAAGATTTAAACCAAAGACAATACCAATGTAAATGCTAGGCAGTGTCACATTTCATCCTAATACTCATCCTATTCCATGCTCCCGAAAATTTCTGCACGATTCAATCAATATTAAAAGACATAGCATCTTGCTGACAGATGGAACTGTGGAATGGTTTTAGAAGAATTCTATTTTATTCTGGGACAGACATTTCTTAGCCCTATGGTTTAAGTGTTCTGCACAGAGAAATAATATACTCAGACTTAGTTGCAATGTTACTAAATTTTTGAGTGGGAAAAGAAGAGGAAGTTGGTTAAAAGGATTGTTTTCCAGAAAAGATTTGTTAAACACAAATGATTCTGATCCCTGAGAGCACCTGTTCCTACTGTGCCATTCCCAGGAAATGAGGTTTTTAAAGCAGAACAATAAAGGCAAAAAACTAAAAGAGATACTGGGTTTCCACGTTCTCTTTGTAAACAGGGACAGTTCTGCTGGTTGAGATGCTCACCCGTCAAGGGGTAACTGTATCTATTACTGTTGTTGTAACCCATGAGCGTCTGTTGGAAATAAAAACTGAAGGAAAAAAAAAGATCAGGTGAACCAGAAAGAAATAAATGAACAATGAAGAAAACAGATACATGATATTCATGTGTGTCCCTGACTATGAATCTGATGAAGAAATCGTGTGTGGACAGGGAAGTGACAGCAAGTGAGAAACCCACACTGGTACCAAAGCTACCCTGAGACAGAAAAGAGATATACTGGCCTCTGTCCCTGGCTCCTGGCACAGGCTCCTAAAACCCTGATCACATCCTAAATGGTAAGAGCACTAGGAGCATCTTTCCTTCTCTTGAGGTGACTTTGGGAGGACTCCTAGATGGCTCCTAGGTGGGGGCTGGTTACCAGAAAGATCAAGACATGATCAGAAGCTTGGAACTGTCAGCCCTACCCTCCCACCCTCGAGAGAGGGGAGAGGGCAGAAACAGAGTAATATCGATCATGCCCACGTGAGGAAGCCTCCATAAACGCCAATAACAGGAGGGAGCAAGCAGGCGGCTCGTCCCACCGAATGCAAACCCAACCTGCAGAGCCCAGCTGCCACCCTTTCTCCCTGAACTCCCTCTCTCCTGAGATCCTGATCTTTTATTTCTGCGAGTTTTGTCCTTGACAGCCAGGAGAGAATGCAGGACTAAGAGACAAATCAGGCACACAGTTCTAGACAGAACCAAACCTTGCATTTTCCAAGCTTTCCGCTGCTCCTCTTTGGCAATGATTTCCATGTCCTTGTCATATATGTAGTCCTGACACAAAAAGCAGTAGATACCGCCATACATAAGCTCTATGGCTGAAAAGAGAAAGGAGGGAAGAGAGAAAAAATTTAACTAAAAATTGAAAGACAGGGCTTAAAGACAAATTAAACATAAGGTTTTTAGACATCTGACTGCACCATTTTTCTACTCTCTAATCATAGAATTTCCTCCCACGTCAGTCAGTTTATCCTACATAGATGAAGCATGTGTATTTTCTTTTTTTTTTTAGATTTCATTTTTCCTTTTTCTCCCAAAGCCCCCCAGTACGTAGTTGTGTATTTTCAGTTTTGGGTCCTTCTAGTTGCGGTATGTGGGATGCCGCCTCAGCATGGCCTGATGAGCGGTGCCATGTCTGCACCCAGGATCCAAACTGGCGAAACCCTGGGCCACTGAAGCACGAACTCAACCACTCGGCCCCGGGGCAGCCCCAGCATGTGTATTTTCTTGGGAAGCTCCTGCCAAGGTAAAGGGAGATGCCACACCCACATTCCACACAGGACCGTCTGCCTCTTCTCTGAAACAGTGGTATTTCGAACAAGGGAAACTTCCAGAGAGTATGATGAGCCCATGAGGGCTCTCGGCCACCTGACGTGCCGTGGCCGTGCTTCACTCCGTCTAGAGCTGACACCATCACGACAAGGAAAGCAACAGCTCTGTGCCCGCGCTCCCTGTCAGTACGGCGGTAAAGCAGCCTCTGAGCAGAGGGCCAGGGCTGCCTGCTGCCCACCCGTGCGTGGGTCCTGCACTCTCTCAACTGCCCCATCTATGACACAAGGATGAGAGCAGGTTCCTAGTTACTTCATCATAAAGATAAATAAGATCAAGTCCTTCGAGTACCTGAAAGAAAGGGACTATCTCCGCTCAACAATTAAAAAGGATTTTTTGTCTTGGATTCACCAAGCGCTATCAGGAGTCTGAGAGGCAATGTGGCCGGAGCAAAGAGCACCGACTCAGAATAAATAGCATTAACCCTGGCTCTGCCACGCACGAGTCATGTATCTTTGATAAATTACACTTCTTAGACTTGATGCCAAAAGCACGAGCAACTAAAGAAAAAACATAAACTGGACTTCATCAAAACTGAACTTCATGCATTAAAGGACATTATTAAGAAAGTGAGAAGACAACCCACAGAATTGGATAAAATATCTGCAAATCATCTCTCTTAGGGGTCTAGTATCCAGAATATAGACACATTTCCAAAATACTTACACATATATCATAAGGTACAACAAAAAGACAAAGAACCCAACCCAACCAAAAAACGGGCAAGCGACCTGAAAAGACATTTCTCCAAAGATGCACAAATGACCAACAAGCATACACAAAATATTTAACATCACTGGTCCTTAAAAAAATGCAAATCAAAGCCACAAGGAAGTATCACTTCACACCCATTACGATGGCTAAAGTTAAGAAAGAAAGAAAATAAGTGTCGTCAAGAATGTAGAGAAATTGGAACCCTCATGCGTTGCTGACAGAAATGTACAACGGTACAGCAGCTGTGGAAGAGTCTGACGGCTCCACAGAAAATTAAACACAGAATTACTGCATGACTGACACCTCACTCCTAGGTATATCAAGGAAAATGAAAACATCTGTTCCACACAGAAACTTCCACATGAATGGTTACAACAGCATTATTTCTAAGAGCCAAAAAAGGTGAAAACAATCCAAATGTCTATCAACAGATGAATAGATAAACAAAAGGCGGGATGTCCACAGAGACTGTTCGCCATACAGAGGAACGAACGACTGATGCTGCTGCAACACGACGAGCCCTGAACACACGCCAGGAGAAAGCAGCAGACACGAAAGGCCACACACTGTATGATTCCTTTTACAGGAAACATTCAGATTAGGCAAATCCAGAAACAGAAAGGAGATCAGTGGTGCCAGTGGGAGTGGGCTGGGGGAGGAAAGGGTGGAGAGTGACTCGTTAATGGAGATGGGGTACTCCTCTGAGGTGGTGGAAAGTTTTGAAAGCAGAAAGAGATGGCGGTTGCACAACACAGTCAATGACTAAATGCTGCTGAACTGTATACTCTATGACGGCTAATTGTATGTTATGTGAATTTTGCCTCAATATATAATTTAAAAACCCAAAGCAACACCCACAATCAAGGTAGTTTCCTTGGAAAAGTATTTCATAGCCAAGATAACTATTCTAAGGATGAAGCCTTGCCTGCAGCAAGACAAAAGGATCAACGATAGGAATCAGACACCTGGATAAGAGTGACACGTCGACCAGTAAGTTGGAGACAGGCCCTAGGATTGTGGGGCTCTCCCACGGGTCTTGTTTTCACACTTCGGCTTACTTGGGAATTCCCAAGCCTCAGCTGACATAGGTACCATGCATGGACAGGGCCTTTTCCCTTGGTCACAGGATGACCTTGAGAATAGCGGGGGGGAAAACATCATCAACTCAGAAGTGAGCTGATACCCACACTCCCCAACCCCACACATGTACTATCTTTTTTGGACAACTAAAATAACTCTTCTGGGATGCAGAGAACAAAGCTAAAGGCAGTACTTTTAGACCTTCTGTGGCTCCTACAGGCAAAATCCACGTGCCCTTGTGACTTAACATAAAACACAAACTTGTATGAAACTAAAAAGTGTGAAATCAAACTTCTCCAGGTTTGTCATCTTCCGCTACTGCACAGGCCTCACAGTTACCTGAGACCCCAACATCCTGTCTATGCCACCTTCCAGCACAGACGTAGTCGACCAGCAAAGGTGACTGACTACACCACGTTACAGTAAGCTCCGTTCTCTAAAGTGTGCACTTTATCACATCACATCAAGGCAATTCTGGAGGACAGGTGGGACAAAGGCAACAGACCCTTCCAGCAGACCGCTATCACACCCGTCGCATCCCACGCCGGCCGTGCTCACCGGTCCTTGCATAAGGCCTTCAACAAAGGCCCACTGCTACTGACAGTCTCTGTGGAAACGCATCATCCACAACATCCAGACAGGCCTCTCCTGCTACTCAATGAAAACTAGATGCCCAGTGAGAAACGTTTCCAATAATCCACTTCAGGTACCAGTATAAGACTGAAGGGTATTCCAGGAGACAGAAGAACTTGGCCACAGGAAATCAAGGCTCTTCACTCCTGATACGACACTCAGCTGCTCAATTAAACTGCCCTTGAACATTCTGCAAAACATCCCCCATAAAACAACCACCAAAATACCCAGAGCCTCGGACGCTGCTCTGCGGGGGCGGGCGGGAGCTGTGGAGGGAGAGGAGCGGAGGGCGAGCCTGCGCGGGACGCGGACACCGTTTCCTGCCAGGGCAGGCCGCCCTTCAGCGTCCTCTCCTGCTCCCTGCCCTCCTCCCCACCTGGACACACACGACTACTTTCTAGTCGTGTAGGAAGGAATCACCGGCCGCCTCGCCCGTCCTCCGTGGGACAGGCCGCCCGCACAAGCGCAGCACTGCGGGCACTAGAGCTCTCCCTCCAAAGAGGCCAATGAGCCCATCGTCACAACCTGAGCCCCCAACTCCAGCCGTCCTTTTGCAAACGCTTCCTTTAAGTTAACAGTTACAAATGAGATAGGTCCACGGGAGATGACTGAGTTGGTACAATTTCATCTCTACTACTTAAAAAGGCCTACACAATATCTTTAACTGGAATTGCTAGACCCACGTGATATATTTTCTAGAATAGCTTCTCTGGCTTGGACCTTTTGAAAGTGATTTTCTTAAGGATATCCTAAAACCTCACAATCATTTAACAGAAAACACTATTCTGAAGGAGAGAATATTTAATGACCACAGTTAGAAAATACAGTTGAGCAAAACTCTGCTTTATGTAACTTCCAGAAGGTATGACAACAGTTTGAATTCATAAGTCTATGAAATGTAAATTATCTTAATGCCACAGTGCTGTTAGCCTTTTCACGAACCAGTATTATTGAGAACAATGAAAATCCATTACAGAAAGCAATAAAAATCACCTATGGACGCCCAACTCCATGCTGACATCACTAACCTAACACTCCATTTAAGATCTTTCTTTGCAAAATTTTGCCTAATCTAATTCCTAATCATGCTTTTCAGAGGGAAAGATAAGTCTCTGATATTCCATTAAAGAAAAGGCACATGTCAAAGAAAGCTGGCTGAAACAGTGAGCCACCATAATTTATCACTTCAGGCTGCATAAACATTAAACCAACTTAAAAGCCTCGGGGCCAGCTGGGCACATAGTCCATCTGAGTTAGTCTGTCCCTTCCATCTCCTCTGCGGAGTGGCACAAGGAGGGCACAAATTATTTTAGATAAAGGAAGCGGACTTCCGCAAGAGTGGAACTGCGAATCAAGATTCAGAGAGCAGGAGTTGGGGCAAGGACGGTCCCCGAGCCCAGTGGGACATCGCAGAAGGGTGCCTTACCCAGGTGGTGCCGTTTCGACTTCGCATGTTCATGAATATGTTTCTTTGTGAAACAGCCGAAGAAGACACAGTGGAGGCAAGAGTGAAGCCTGTTCAGGTGGACACCACAAACATGACAGACGCACGACTTTGCCTGAAATTCAAAGAGAATTAAAAATCAGCACATGCTATGACAGGAGTTCTCACAGGGAACATTCCAGCGCAGTGACCCACAAGGGGCACACTATGGGGGAAAGGAAGGCGCGGATTTCTTCGCAGTCTCACCACGCTAAAAGATCACCTTGTTAATCCTCTCAAGTGCCCCAAAAGGTACTTAGTTCATTCAGCTCAAAACTAGCTCCATGTAAGAAAAAACAGCCCATAATCTCAATTACCAAAACCAGCAAGTTTACCACACGAAGCTATAGGAGCAGTGTCTTTGTGTTCTCCTCCGAGTCCCGACAGGGTGCCCACCCCAGCTCCCGTCCCAATCCCAGACCAGCAACTCACAACCTAGTCCCCCTTCACCTGACAGCATTTTAAGCTGTATACTCCAGGACCGTGGCGAATTCGGAAGCACTCCGTCACTCACTCAAGAAGAACGTGAATCAGAGCAACATACACAAACAAGGGAAAGGAATGGTTTACTGCCAAGAACTAGACCACAGAAACCTAAAATTGAGGTCACAGCAATTATGAGCAGAGTGGCAAACAGCTCTTATACACCCAAACCACCCTGAATGCCACTGTTTCCTAGCACCCTATGACCATTACAGTTATATTAGCTATAAATCCCCTGCAGATAATCAAACTGAATTTCCAGCCTCTGAGATGACACGACTGTATGTACTTCTCTTCTGTTTCGAGGTGGGAGATGGAGCAGGGAGATGAAGGAAAGTAGAAAATAAATAGGGTATGGGGAAGAGAAGCCTAAATAAAACAGAAAGGGTCTCTGAAAACAAAGGCTGGCGACACGAACACTGCACACTATCTGCCAGATGCGCACCAGACACTGGTGCTGGGGTCTTTCGGGCAGTCTGTCCCATTCAATCCTCACAACCACGCCACAAGGAAGGTCAAGCCCTTCTGACGTATGAAGAAACTTACTCAGTCACAGCTGGAGGACACTGCTGGAACATGGACTACGACCTGCCTGACCCCAAGAGTCCACACTCTCCCCTGCAGCTCCAAGGCAGCCACTTCTAAGCTTCACTGCACACACAAGACCAAGGCAAGGGCCCAGCCAGCAGCGACAGGTGAGCACTCACCCAAGTGGAGGGCCGAGGGAGGGCAGGACAGGGCAGGAGGACCAGTCTCACACCTGTATTTACAGAAAACGCGAATCGTGACTTCTACCCAGAGAGTAACTGCCTTAAGGGGACCTGCACAGGGACCTTAAGAACTTCTCTGGCCTCCAGAAGAGGCAGAGTCAGTGCAGTGGGTGAGGCAGGACGCAGGAATGCTCACTCCAAGAGTGCCCTGCGGCTGAGCCCCAGGTGAGAAGCCCCAGCAGACAGACGAGCACCGCACACCCCCTGCAACTGCATGGCAGGCGCTCCTTTACAGGGGTGCTCAGAGCGCACGCCCACCCAGGCCAGTGGGAGGTGCAAGTCCTCAGGGGCAGCCCTGGGCTAACGAGCCCCGCGGGAGGGCCCCGAACAGCCCTGAAAGGAGCTCGGCACACCATCAACTCCACCGACAATTTTATCTGTGGACTCACATTCAAATCTAATCATTAAAACGCCATTTCTTCTTGATTAAGCAGTTACTCTCAGCGGTTACTTTTTTTAAACAATATGAAGAGTTTCTCTCTGCGAACCCCCTAAGGTTTAGCTGCGTCACGGGACTTCTCAACAGCAGCACCACAGACGTCTGGGGCCGGCTGATCCTTCGAGGGTGGGCGGGCGGATGTGGGGTGTTTCCACGCAGTGCAGGATGTTCAGCAGCAGCAGCAGAAACAGCAGGTCTATCATCTATTTACTCTTCCAACAATATATCAAAGGACTTAAGTAACTATAATTGCTTCCAGTAATGCAGGGGACATTTTTAAATTACATATGCAGTTATGATGAACAGACAACAAATGACACTGCCAAGTATCTTGAAAATTTCCCTTTAGCTATAAATGCTGTTGGGAACAGACTCCTGGGGAGCCTCATCCATCCTCCCTCTGGGTGACTGGTCACGTGCGCACAGGCTAAGGACGCTCAGCCCTCACCAGTGAAGACAAGCTCACAGACTGATGGAGCCAGGAGCAAAGGGACCACCTCTCTAACAGCCATCAAGCAGCCAACCAACAGGGAACCGGCACTGAATAGAGAAAACAGAAACCTGTCTTTGACATACTCATAAAATCTCAGCTGTCTTCTGTATTACGATGTCTCTATCAGCACCATTCAATAGAACGCTATGATGCTGGAAACGTTCAGTAACGGCACTGTCCACTACGGCAGCCACTGGCCACATGTGGCTACTGAGCTCTCGACATGTGGCTGGTGACTACAGTAATGGACAGCACAGTTCCAGGTCCTAAAATGAGCAATTACTACGTTACACACAGAGTTCTTTTCCTAATATCTGTCTCCTGAGTTCACTTCCTCCAGAAGCTAAAGCACGGCCAGAGCAGTTGGAATTAACCCTGGATGCCCTAAGATGTATCGTACTGACACCTGTACGTCTGAACCCAAAACTCCAGGCAGTTGGTCAGTAGCACCAGAAACTAGTGAAAGTAGTTAGGTGTTAACGTGAATTACTTATCCAAAGCCAGCTGCTGACTTCTAGTTTAGTGCAGTTGCAGCCGCCACCGTGACCCACCCAACATCTGTTACAGGACACAGAGGGTTCAGCTCCTGCTTCTGCCACTTCCTGGCTGCAAGACACTGAACAAGTGACAGAGTTCTCTTTACCTCCGTTTCCTCACTTTTAAACTGTAGACATGCTCCTACCTCATACACCTATTATGAGGATTAAATGAACTGATGCTTTCAAAGTATTTAGGATACTGCCTGCACAGATGAAGATTTGTAGTGGGCTGACAGGGGCCCCCAAAAAGCTAGTGTCTGTCCTAATTACCAGAGCCTGTGGATGCCACTTTCTGTGGAAAAAGTATTTTTGCATATTTAATTAAGAGTTTTGAGATGAAATTATATTTGATTACCTGGGTGGGCCCTGAATGCCATCACCAGTGTCCTTAGAGGGAGAGGCAGAGGGAGATTGGACAGAGGAAGGAAGGCAGTGTGAAGGTGGAGGCAGAGACTGGCGATGGTGCCAGAGTCCTCCAGGAGCTGGAAGAGGCCAGATCGGTTCCCACCCTGGAGCCCCCGGGGGGCCCCTGCCAACACCGTATTTCGGGCTTCCAGCCTCCAGAACTTGTTCTGCACCACACAGTGTGTGGTCATTTGCTGCAGCAGCCACTGCAGACTAAGAGAGTTCACATTAGCTATGAGTCTTTTGACTTCCTCCCACTGACCCTGAGATGATTAGAAACCAAACTCCCTGGACACTCTCGCCTCACGGGCAGTGCGTATGAGTCGGCCGACGGGCTGCATGGCTCCTCCTCGAGCGGGTCTCACACCTTCCTCTCAGGGAGGCAGAAGGATTCTGGAGGCTGGCGGCTGTTCCAGGTAACTCAGTCTAGAATCTGCCGCTCTGGAGGCCTTGCAATGATTTTTGGACTAAATTCCTTTCTCCTATAAATTAATTCAAGCAGCTTCAATAGCCTGCAAGTAAATCCTGAAACACAGCTAGGACCTGTAGGAACAGCAATGGGGAATCAACAACTTTTAAACCAAGAGTTGTTGATTTCACACAGTGCAAGAAACACACTGCAAGTCCATCAATTCAGCCCCAATATTAAGAACATTCCTCTGGATATCTTAGTCTCTGTTATCTCCCTTCTCCTATCTTCCTCTTAACCCCAAGAAGGATGGGGACGGGGCAGAAGGGGCAAAGCCCTTGCAGCCGACACACATGGGCTCACACCAGTGGGCTGACTCAGTTGTGCAGTGAATTCTGAGTTCAGCGTAAATTACACACACAAACCAGCACCTCAAGAACTGGCGCACACCTCAGACATCACCCCCGCCTTCCAACCACTGCCGGGCTATTAAACCCAAAGCTGCGAGAAGGAAAGCTCAAGTCTCGTGCCTTCTTGTCAGTGACTTTTTCGAAGGTTCAAAATACATCTCCACCACCATGAACTCGGATGTAAGCAAAGAGACAGGTACGCACACTCCATTTTCCACATGAACAAATGAAAGAACCAGAAGGTAAAGACTTGACGAAAATTAGACAATCTCCTCAAGTTTCCCAACCTCGGAAAGCCAGATTCAGACCTTTGCATCTCCGAGCTAAAACAGACCTTAGCATCATTCTAGTCCAACTCCTTCAATTTACAACAGTGGTGACATAACTGTAGTCTAGTGAAAAATTCACATTTTGGTCTCAATCCACAGTTGCAAGCACAAAGCTCCTGAAACCCTTGGCATTCTTAGGTGATTAGATGGATAGAGGCATCTTTCGTTACTCAAACAAGTCCCTTTCAACCATGTCTAAGTGCATGTCAATGAAGTGACTTCTGGAAAGCTCCTGGATAGCTCCAGATGGGGACTGGCTGCCAAGGGAACCAACCATGTGAGCAGGGGGTGGAACTTTCAGCCCCATCCCCCGACGAATGGCCAATGCCTCAATCAATCATGCCTATGTAATGATTTGACCAATGCCTGTTTAATCAATCGTGCCTATCTAGTGAAGCCTTCATAAAAATCCTTAACGACAGGGTTTGAGAGCTTCTGGGTTGGGGAGTGCATCCTTGTGTGGGGAGGGCAATGCACCCCAACTCCACCGAGACAGACACTCCTGCGCTTAGGGTCCTTCCAACCCCACCCTGTGCACCTCATCTGTATCCTTTATAGTATCCTTCATAATATAAACAGGCACGCGTAAGTAAATGGTTCCCTGAGCTTTGTGGGCCATTCTAACAAGTTACTGAACCGGAGGAGGGGATCATGGTCAGCTGCAAGCACAGGTGACAACCTGGATTGGTGTCTCAAGTGGGGGCAGTCTTGTGGGACTGAGCCCTTAACCTGTGGAATCTTACACTATGTCCAGGCAGTGTCAGAATTGAGTCAAATTTGTAGGACATCCAAGTGGTGT